CCAACTTTACATTACGCAACAAGTCTTGTATCTTCCCCAACGTCACATGTTGCAAAACAGTACAAAAAACATAAAAAAAACTCAACACCAAACAGAAAACCCTTAAATAAAACGTCAATAGAGCGACACACTAAATAGCACACACTTCAACAAACCTCTTGAGGTTTATCTAGAGCACGATTAGTTCTTCCCCACAATAACCCTTTACACCGCACTTCAACCCAACAAACAAACTAACTGGAGTCTTAGACGAAATTGTGGAAGAGGCTATTCGAGGTAAGGAGGGTTTTTCTAGTTTTTTTACGAAGACCCAGCTACATTCTTTATTTCTTGCTAGGTATTCTTGGAGAAGGTGCTCGTGCCAATCCACAAAGAGAGGCGGAAATAATGGGTCATCAATTACGAAAGGTTAATACGTACAACAACAGTCAAATGATTTACGATGCTGTGGCATCACTGTATACAGCCGAATCATTTCTGTATAGACTATAAAACGCTACTTTGCAAGAGAATGATCTGAAGAAGACCGATACACTCGGGGCATTCTGCTATCTGTTAAGAGAAAGTCTACCCTATACCGGCGTACGTCGTGAACTAACTGTTTTTCGTGGTGGTAATTTAACACGGAAAGAGTTAGATAGTTATAAACTATCAATTGGACATAGCATTGAGTGGAGTCCGCTTACATCGTCGACGATGAATCGTCATCTTGCTGAAAATTGTGGCGGATATCCTGGAAATACACTGTTTATTATTCATAGGGAGCGTGCGTCGAGGACTTGCAAAGATATTTCATCCGTATCACACTACCGTGGTGAAGTTACGTCTGGTACAAAGTATTCGATTTGACAAAGTCAGCAAAAAACATTTAATTTTCTTAACCGATCTTTATGACTATGAGGTAGGGCACGGTAAAGACCAAGTTGTTCGCCTTGACGGGTTCGATTGGCTTGAGAAATTTATGTATCCCTAATTTATTCTCGAAAAATATAAAACAAAATTGTACGGTAATATTTGACAATCAAGCTGATCTTCGTACACATATAATTTGTGATCAGCATCAAATGGATGTTGATTACAACAAAAAACAATCAAGTAATGATGCTGCACGGATTCATTTAATGGAAACATTGAAAACTGTCAATACAATAAGTCAAATTCAGACAACAGCAATATTCGAACAACAGTCTCCAACTGCTAAATCAACAACAACATCAAAATTTCGAACAGATAAATATATTAATCATTTTAATTCAGAAGGTTGGGGACTACGTGTTCGAAAATCTGGTCAGCGAATTAGTCAAGATGTTAAAAGTTTTATAGAGTGAGTTACGCTGAATTAATTTTTGAGAGTCCATGGCACCCGTTGTCTCCTTTTGACTTTTCTAGAAATATATGGAAAGATGGAATGCAAAATGGGAGAAAAATTCAAGCTGATGCTATTCGTCAGAGAATTCGAAGTGAAAGAAATGATAAAAAAGAAGTGAGTTTTATCTCTAGCAGCGCGACTGGACAGAAAATCATTTTCACTGTCTTTACTTCAGAAGTTATTTACACCTGATCGGTATGTATCGGCGGCACAAATAAAATATCAAATAAAAAAATTAAATAAAAAATATGATGTATCAATCGAACAACAATTGATTAGTGATTTGCTATTACAAACAACAACATCATAACGTCGTTTATACAGGATATACTTAGCGCTAATTTGATACTGGAACGTCTAACGACGAAATACAACATTGATTTCTCCCCTGTTGACCTTCTATCTATTCTTGTAGGCGTACTAATAAAAGTCATTTTGTTGAAGCAGCACTCAAAGTTACTCACAAGCCAGGCAACTGACTGATCTCACCACTCTAGAATCAAGTCTGAGCTTATTCCCGACAGCATCATTGAATTCAGGATAAAAAATAACCTGTAAAAACTAATTTTCATGGTATATTTGTTGAAAAATCGTTACAAAAAATTGTAAGTGAAATAACGCAAAAAATGGAGATTTTACTAAAAATTCAATATCTTACGTTCCTCTTTGAAGTCCAAAGGTTTTCTTTTGCCGTTTTGTCACTCCACCCTTCTAGTATCTACCCTAAAAGTCTGAGCCTTACTGAGCTGGTTACGCACGAGATAATGAATGATGAAGTAGTATCGGTAGCGCCATCTATAACTTCATAATAAAACGACCTCTAGAGTTCGGACTTGTACTATTTTCTAGACTGATGCAAGTTGTATTTGTGCTGAAATTTTTGTGTCTCTAAGTCAAGCCGTTAGAAAATAACACACTCAAGATTAAACGCTAATTGATCCTAATTCACCACCAAAAAAATGGCAATTTTTCTTAAAACTTGAATATCTCAGTAACTACTTGGGTTGTGGAGCTGCGATTTGTGGCAAAAAACTTACTATTAATTGTACTTTTGACCTATGTAATTGAAATGAAGTTTGGAGAAAGTCGATTGAGCAGCTTCTGCAGTACTTGGTCGTGGCTTATCTGCAATGGCTCTTAAAAGGATGCTCAGTTTTCAACATGCAAAATAATTTCGGAGAATCTATTTTGTAGAGAAAAACTCTACAATCTCTTATGGAAACCATAGCTTGATCTCTTATTTTGATGCTGTTACTGTTGAAATCAAAAAGATATACAAGTTTCTTTTCTTTACAGACCACATGTTAGTGCCCTTCAAAGATGCGCTTACTGCTCGAAGGTCACAAGTGATAGAAATTTTTTGAACATATATAATCGATAACCAGGGCTTTAGCTATGCTCTTCGACGACTCCTTTCTTTCTGATCATCTTTTCTATTATTCTAGCTCTTTCTAGGTCACCTTTTTCCTGTGCTTGACCTACATTCGTTCTCTTTCTCTATCCCTATGATTTTTTGTGACCATTTTGTGCTCTACATTTTTTCGACACAGTATATATCGGTGTAAACAGTTTTCTCGGATGCCCCAGTCCCCTTTTTCATGTAGCTGAATTCAAAGATTCATAACTCAGCCTAGGAATATTGTTTTCACTTCAAAATTGTATCAAATACTCTGCTGCATCTCCAAATTATGCACACAAAGTTTGAAGGCTAACTACTGTATGATTCGAAAAATTCGTTGAGAACGAGCATCCATCCTTATCCACTTCACTTATGTTGCATCCTTTTCTCTTTCCATTTATTTCCAGTCAAAATTAATACCATATTTGAGATCAGCAGACAAAACTGCTTTAACACTAGCATTTTAAACAAAAAATTCCATCAAAAATTTCCTATCCTGATTTGCATAAGGACGAAATATTATTGATAATGTTTCATCTGGACGTTTTATTATTACATGTTTTTCTAATTATGTTTTTACCTGATTATGATGCACATCGAATGCTAAATCCATGGTAGAAAGGACGACTCTTGATTTATCAGCCTAGCCTCCCTACATATGTTCCAATAGAGGATGCTCGTTCTCAACAAATTTCTCGAACCATACCATAGTTAACCTTCAAACTTTGTGCGCATAATTTGAAGATGCAGTAGAGTATTTGATGCAATTTTGAAGTGAAAACAATATTCCTAGGCTGAGTTATGAATCTTTGAATTCAACTCAAGGGGACCAACCTCACTTTAAGTGCCTTTAAGTGTGTGCACCTTCGAGTTAAGTGTCACTTAAAGTGTTTAAGTGACATTTAAATGATTAAGTGTCATATCAAATTCCGCAACTTTCTGGAAAATCAAGAATTCAGCCCTATATGTTCCAAAATATAATATATATGGACTGTGGCTGTTCCGCGTCATACGAGTCTGTTTGTTTTCATCATTTTAATGAACACAGCTAGAATGCATCCACAGATGTGAGTACAAAATCAAAAATGTACACGAGAAAACTATAAACAGTATTTACAAATATGCTGTAAAAGAGTCCATAATTGTAAAACGCTTGGATCACTCGAACGTGTAACTCGAATAATAATACAGTGCTCAACTGATTATTCATATATTATTTTCTATAGGAAAAACATTGCAAGGTTTTCTCAATCTAACATCTGATACACGACACGGCAGAAAAAGGGAAATTTTCAAAGTTTCGTATTCACTGCTACTGTGTTCTTTACATATAACTAACAGTCAATGGAAAACAAATTGACTCTAGCAAGTATTTAGCAGCATTAAATCAAATAATAACAAAACTAGGCTGTTATGCTAATTTCTTTAATATTCAGGAGACAACCTTGTCCAAAAAGCGTGTTCTCTTTCTTTCCATCTTCATCTATGAACTTCACTGCATCGGTACCATCTCGGCAGTTGATGTAATGTGGAGCAGATGGATCACTATCTTTATACAGTCTTACTAAAGGATATTGTTCAGACGTTCGGAACTCGTAGATATTTTGCTCACTATCGAAATGCTTTAAACACGGGTATCAATCTAACAGAGTCATTGCAGCAATGCCAAACGTTAATGTATTGGGATAGACGGCTTCCTTTTGACCCCCAAAATCACAACAAATAAACTCTTTTTGTTCTGGCTTGAAGTCAACTTTTGTTAACACGTAATTAACTTCGTTGTTGATCAGCCACGATATTGTTTTGTTGACTGAGTTAAACTGAACGCATAAACTGACAAACTCGTCTTGGCTTTTTCGTGAATAAATGGGAATTATAGTGGCGAATGCTGCATAATTGTTCTCACTTGTTCTTCGGTACGGCAGACGCTCGTAATTTGCGTACACTTTAGTATTTGTTAAAAAGGTAGTGGCTACCACCCATGTTTTCCGGTCGACACACACTATACCGCAGGTACTAAATCGTAGGTCAACGTGCATAGATTCAGCTGATGTGAATAGATATTTGAATGGATTATTCTTGAGTACACCCAAAATGTTCGCTCTAATAGTATATTCAACATTAAGGATGTCGGAGGAGGGTAGTTGTGAGTAAATGAGTGAATGCATGAAGTGAAAATGGAGTAAATGTCGGTTGATCGTTGATAGCAGAACTTTGGTTCCAATTATTAATCTGTCTTTGCCAGCAAAGTTTAGAGATACAAGAGTTTTTCTAGATGACATTCTTTAAACTTTACCTCGTCTAAATGAGAACGTATGTTATTCTAAACACATGCTTTTCATTCGTAGTAGAGGTAAACGTCGATAATATGACACTGTGAAGGACTTAGTGTAGCCAAGTGAAACGATGCCTTGTCTCCTTTAACTTATTGTTAAGCTTTTTCTAAAGTGACAAATGTCTACACTTGTACTTGTTTCACGATTTTAATACCAGACATAAAAACTTCCTTTTTACAGATCCAGACACAACTGAGAGTATTGACTTGTTAACTTCGTCACACTACACTGTATAAAAAAACGTAGGGTACAAAACGGAAAAGGGATTTTGCACTTGCAACTATACCAAACGCATTTCCGTTTTGCATTTAGAGTGCAAAAACCCCTACCGTTTTCTATAATACTGCTTGAACGGTAAATGCAAAACGGATAGGGATTTCTTATCCGTTTATTGTGAGTTTAGTACTTAACTTCAAAAACCTTCTATGGTATTTCAAAATACGCCTAACCGTATTTGAAACAGTATTTGAGGAGTTTTTGCGCTCTGCAAAATCGAAATGTGTTTCGTATAATGGCAAATACAAAAACCTTCCGAAATACTGATTTTGTTGAACTACTGCTTCAGGGTTTTGTGCAATGCATTCAACAAACAGCTTTAACTTTCTTTTCTAAACAGAAAATCGTGTTTATCTCAACTGGGAAGCATTTTTCTGAGGTGATGCCTATGAGAGAAAAAGCCGGAAATGGAATTCTGCACACGGCTGAAACTCCTCAAAACCCAGTCAACTCACCCAAAAACGCTGCATTTTCGAGATACATTATTTTATTGATTCTCTTGAAAAGTATATCAGTATTAAGATGCGCTCACAGCAACGATGCACCGCGTTTTAGGTTTTTACTTTTTCATACACCGTTCTATAGAGAATTGAATGGTGATTCCGAATATCACATCCCGGTCCCTCGAAACCCTTTCCTTATCGAGATATTCGTAAAATACTCGAAATGGGTCAAAAACGTCAAAAAAAACACGGTTTTGGACAAATGCCCATAACATTTTTGCGTTTCACTTTTACAAATCGAGGTCGATCTTTTTAGAATTAGAATTGAAAACTAATTCTAGAAACATGTCTCTCAAAGCACTTAACCAAAACTGGATTTTTCCGAAAGATCGAAACCTGTTCGAGCCAAAGGCGCCGAGCAAAACTTGCAAAGTTTTCACAGGATCCCCAAAAGGTGCTAAAACAAAACTTTTTGCGCGATTCGATTCACCGCGATCTCCTCTTCAAACTAATGAAAACCGTTTTTTAAAAAAGTTTTTCCTCACTAAGAAAATCGACTTCTACTAAGCACTACCCTTAAACGGCCAGGTCCTTTTCGGCTCTTTTCTCGAACTTTCCTCCAGTTTGAGTGAAATCATAGCCGAATAGGCTGAAAACGATGGCAATTCTGAAGTGAAAAATCTTCCAGTGACCTTTAAAAACCTCTTCAGAAAGCCTGGAGAGTACCTCCGTTGGATTCGCCATCGTTTTCAGCCTATTCGACTATGATTTCACTCAATGGAGGAAAACTCGAGAAAAGAGCCGAAAAGGACCTGGCCGTTTAAGGATAGTGCTCAGTAAAAGTCGATTTTCTCAGTGAGGAAAAACTTTTTTAAAAAACGGTTTTCATTAGTTTGAAGAGGAGATCGTGGTGAATCGAATCACGTAAAAGGTTTTGCTTTAGCACTGATATACTTTTGAAGAAGAACATTAAAATGATTTATCTCAAAAATGCAATGGTTTTGGGTGAATTGACTGAGTTTTGAGGACTTCAGCTTTGTGCAGAATTTCATTCCCTACTTTTTCTCTCATAGGCACCACCTCAGAAAAATGCTTCCCAGCTGAGATAAACACGATTTTCTGATTAGCAAAGGAAATACCATCGTTTACGGCCGTTTATGACAGTCGTGTACAGTTGAACACAATTCTTTTAGAAGGTTAGCGCTCAGCAGTAAGAAACTTTTTACAAAAGTTCAGTGTTCTGAAGCAGTTATGCGAGGGATGTTAACAGGTTTACTCGTTTGAACGATAATGTCAGCGGTAATCTAAATGTATATGCTCATTCCCTTTTCCCCAACTTTTTTCTTGTTCAAGTATCATTCGTAATTAACGTGATCAGATACTGAATCATGCGCTAAAATCATGAACAGTTTATGGACAGTAGAAAATATTTGAGTGAAAAAAATAAAATTTGACAAAAAGAACTCTAACCAGAACAATAGAATTTGATCGGCAATATATGTTCATTCATGAATACTATGAGAGGATAAAAACTGGTTAACGTTCACATCTACCACACAACAAAAAGTATAAGAAACACAATAAAACCTCCAGCATGCAGAACAATCTGTACAAATGATGATAAGAAACGCTTTAGCGATGATTCAGTGGTCTTCTTTTACCTTGCGGAACTAGTTCAGCAACTTTAGATTGTGGTGATGTCTCATCTTCCTCTCCGTCTGAATCGATAAAAATATTGGTAATGCCAGCACCATGTCGTTTCGCCGGCGTCTTCTTTTTCTGCACTGAATTAATTATTGTTGCACTCGATGTTGTTGTATCTAATTTCATTTTTTTCCTTGATACATCGATATTTTGGTAAAAGGAACTTTCGTCACAACGCACTTTCGTCATAGGGGGGGGGGGGGTTTATTTTGGGAAATTTTGCCAAATGGGGTTTTTTAAAAAAAAACATTGGTGCGGTATTTGCGG